TGATAATGGTCGATAATATGGGTCTAATAGAAAAACGTTATTTAGTAAAATCTGGAGCTGCATCGCCTCGCTTCAGACTAAGGCGAGGAGATATTTTCATTTAAGTTTTCTGGAGCGGCACAAAATCTTTTCTTCTTTATAAGAACAGGACAGCTTGGTCCTGGCGAATATTCATATCAGCCACCGGGGAACTAAAGGATGTTTCCGTTTATTGCGACCTGCGAATGAAGTGAATCATTGGGGTTTCTGGCTACGACTCTGCATCCAAACCTTGGGGCCAGTAATATTGTTCTTTCTATACCAGATGGTTCAAGAATTTGTGTTAGTGGTAGTACACTTATATTAAATGTTTGCTTTCAATAACAAATTATTTTATTAAATATTGAATTATTACTGCAAATGCATTTATATCTATTTTTGTTGCATGGGTGTTATACAGTAGAATCCGGTTATAGCTACTTTTAAGGGACCGAGAATTTTTCGTCGTTATACCCGGAAGACGCACTAACAGAAAGGTGGAAAAGACAAATTTTGTTTGTTTATTTTATGGTTGCCATTTTCGTAATATGTTTTAACAAAAAACAAATTAATTTTTTAATCAAACAAACAATTTAATAAATTTAATTTAAACATGGGTTTTTCATAGGTTCACCGGCTTCCAAGCGCCGAATAATTTGCATTTTTTCTTCGACGGAGAAGCCCTTCAGTTTTAAAGATATTTTGTGGGCCTAATGCACAAGTGTCGAGCTTAAACTGAAATGAGCTTATCATTTGCATTTAGTGCATTAACTTACATATGGCGAATTTACGCATTAAGTTTTATTGGAAAATAGCAGAAAGAACTAGAAATATAACGGGACATCTTATGGAATATAGGCATATACACGCACGCTGTAAACATTTTTGTGATTTTTTGTATTTTTTTGTAATTATTTTAAGTAATTACTGTAAATTATTGTAAATATTTTTCGTTGTTTTTTTTTTTTGGCACGCCGCAATATGCGGTTGAATTATGAAAAATCTCCTCGGTATAAGCGGTTTGTCGCTAAAAGCGGAGACGTACTAACCGTCCTTTCTTATAACTTTGTATGGGGAACAACCAAGCCATCGAGTTTCCGTCGCAATAACCGGACTGACGCTATAAGCGGAGTCGTTATAACCGGATTCTACTGTATTTGCATTCTATATTCTAGAACAGGATTACTAGCAGAATCCATCTGCTCATGACCTTATGTCCGTATGAGCGCTGTGATCTCATATAGTTATAAAGTCACATATAGTTATGTAAATGCTAGGAAGTCAAGCATGCAAATTCGAGTGAAGGACGCAGAAGATTTGCCGATTTACCAAGCACTCTTAAGCAGCCACAAACAGAACACTTTTTTGTTATTTTTATATTCTTTTTTGATAATATGTAAGTAAATGAACATAAAATTCCTTGTTAGAAATGTGTTGGGAATCGGAAATCGGAGCCACGCAGAATAATTTGGGTCTTGACATAGTGTGTGTAGTATAATGTAGTGTAAATTAGTTCTGCACATGAAGTAAGTTGAAATTATGTTGATTTCAAATAAGTCACTCCTGTAAATGCTCTACATAGTTAAAAAAAAGTTAGTAAATGTAGTTAAACTGAAATTTGAAAAATATTCGATGACCTGACGCGTGCCTCCGATTAACATCGATACCTTGTGTGGCCGATAGCGAATAGCAACGTCCGACAGCCATCTCCAGCACGCGCACTATCGATAGGCCTTTTTCTCGCATCCCTAAGAAATACGCTCAGCGTGGCTGACTAGAAATTTTTGCGGAAATTCCCCTTGCAAATCTTCGCCTGCAGAAATTACCATGTCGGCCCTCAATCTGACAGTGCGCGTGCACCCGGTGGTGCTCTTCCAGGTGGTGGACGCCTTCGAGCGGCGGAACGCGGACTCGCACCGCGTCATCGGCACCCTGCTCGGCTCTGTGGACAAAGGTGTGGTGGAGGTTACCAACTGTTTCTGTGTGCCGCACAAGGAGCACGACGACCAGGTGGAGGCAGAGCTGAGCTACGCCCTGGACATGTACGACCTCAACCGCAAGGTGAACTCCAACGAGAGCGTGGTGGGCTGGTGGGCAACCGGCAACGACGTGACCAACCACAGCTCCGTGATCCACGAGTACTACGCCCGCGAATGCAACAACCCGGTGCACCTTACCGTGGACACCTCTCTCCAGGGCGGAAGGATGGGTCTGCGTGCCTACGTCTGCATTCAACTGGGAGTGCCCGGCGGCAAGAGTGGCTGCATGTTCACGCCCATTCCTGTCGAGCTGACCAGCTACGAGCCGGAGACATTTGGGCTCAAGCTGCTCCAGAAGACCGTCGGCGTTTCGCCAGCCCACCGTCCCAAGACCGTGCCGCCAATGCTAGACCTGGCCCAAATCTCGGAGGCCTCCACGAAACTGCAGTCCCTGTTGGACCTAATTCTCAAGTACGTTGACGACGTGATCGCCCATAAGGTGACGCCCGACAACGCCGTCGGCCGCCAGCTGTTAGACCTTATCCACTCCGTGCCGCACATGACCCACGAGCAATTCACCCAAATGTTCAATGCCAACGTGCGCAACCTTCTGTTGGTCATCACGCTCTCCCAGCTCATCAAAACCCAGCTACAGCTCAACGAGAAGCTCACTTTCCTGCCCACCGCCTAGAACGACGCCTGTTGTTGAACTGGTGATATCGGAATTGTACAATAAGGGCGGAATTGTAAATGGATTGTTTTTTTATAAATGGGTCAACGTAATAAAGTGCTCGGATCGCCAAAAAAAAAAACACAAAAACTTGTATCGATTAAACTGGCCATTCCATACTAAGCAAAAAGGTAGAATGGATTATTTTTATTATAATTCAAAGGTAAAAGCAGCTTCAAACCCATGACAAATCCAGACACTCGATGATCGTGTAGCGTTTGTAGGAGCATTCGGTTCGGTCAAAGAGTCTCTAACACAAGAAGATTCACCACCAGGAACAAATTATTGTAACAATGATACTTATGTATCATTAAAATCAAACTAACCACTTTTAATGATCGCACCTTCAGCACACAATAGTTCTGATATCAAATTTTGTAGCGAAATGTGAAATCACATTGCATTGAGAACTAGTTTCTTACATTTTGTAAGAATAAAAGGGTATACTAGAGCGGTTTGTGCGGCTGCCCCTCTTGGGCTTTTTACTTTTTGCCAAAGACATTTGGGTCAGACAATTGAATCGGGCTTTTTGATGACAGGGGATGTTTGGTAACCGGGCATCGATAATAGACGCATAGCGCACATGCCCTTTGAAAAGGATTGGTGTCTGCTGGCAGAACTTGGTTGTTCGCCTTGGTGGTATCAGGTGGTGGCATCTCCACCCACTTGGAGGACAATGCTTCAGCATTGCGGAATATGCGACAGCATACAAATTAAGGCTTTTTTATTTTGCTTACGCTTTTTATGATTTACATTTTTATTTGCCGCTCGCTTTGTCCTGCGAAATGTTTTCGGCACTTTTGTGATGCTATTTACTTATAATTTTTTTTTTTGGCCCTCCGCTGTTGCTCTGCAATACACTAAACACTCTGGAAACACTAAATTATTTTAATTGCTTAAACTGGTTAATATTTTCTTCTTTTTGTGCGGCATTACATCCATTAACAGCAATTGCATTGGCTTACAAGGTATTTGGTTAGGCGCTTTCATTTGTTCATACCGATATTCCAGAAGATGGAGAAATTTTTCGTTGCACTTCCACTAGCTGAGTAACGGGTATCTGATAGTCGGGGAACCGACTTTAGCACTTCAATTAAAATGAAGACAATTCGCTTTAGTCCAGTTAATCGCTATCACATACATATTCGTTACTCAGCTAGTGGAAGTGCGAACAAGAAATTGCATAATTTTTGGCATATCGATAGAAATTGGCAAACAAATAAAAACATTTTCAAGATGAGGGCAATAAAGGTGGGCAATAAAGTAAACTCGCGTTGCGTCTATGCTTCTGCAATCTGCATGCTTAATCTCAACATTCTAGCATTTAAAGTTCCTGAGATATTTACATTCATACGGGCAGACCTTCGGACATGGTTAAATAAAAATACTTTTTGCATACTTTTTGTCGAAATTTCATTCTCAGATGGCAGTAGTATTTTATAAATGATTAAAGTTTCCTTTTCGCCGGCTAATTTCACTGTTTTACATAAAAAGATACTGGTTGCTTCTAAGGCATTTGAATTCAGTTCTTGGTTTTTGCTATTCGTGGTATATAAAGCTGCGAAGAAAATAATAGCACCAGCACAGCATATTTTGTACCGATATTTCGCATAAATCTGGGTTTTTCCCTATCAAAATAGTAAGGAGAATAAGGAGAAAAAAATGGCACCACTATCTATTTTATTTTGGTAAAAAGCACATGGTTATAAAACTTAATATTTTTATTCCTATTTTCAACAATATCTTTGGTAAAAAGCACATGGTTATAAAACTTAATATTTTTATTCCTATTTTCAACAATATCTTTGAAAACCTACCTTAAAAAAATTATTCAAATGGGACGTGAAAAGCAGAAAAACTTGGCATGATCAAAAAACTCATTTCTGAAGGAATATCATACTGAAATCACCTAGAATAATTATTCTAGTGCTTTGATGAAACTGCTTATGTATAATTGACATTCTTTTTTTGAGCATACTTTTCAGAAATGCAACAGAAGGACAGGTAGAAAAGTAAGGTAATATGGCGTATTAGAAAGGTAAAAGGATGTATTTGCCTAAAATTTAGAAAGTGGACTAGCCAATGATCAGTTCAGAAACGACTTACGCGTTTTTCCAACATTGAAGGACATATATCCGAGTCCTAGACTTCTAGACTTACCCCAAGAATACCTTAGATCTTTTATAACTTTATAACGATCTGCAGATGTTGCTTACATTAAAAAAAAAAAACAGTTCCATCGTTGAAATAGTTTATTAAAAAACTACAAGAAATTAATATATCTTCTTTGATGTATTTAAGCAGAAAAATTATTCATATACCGATCATGTTTATAAGGTAATCATACAATCCAAGATGTGTGTAGAATATACAAATTTTTAACTTTATGCGTAATTACAATAAATAAAAATAACGGATATTAGAAATTACATCTTTCACGTTATATGCTCCTCCCATGAAGTTTAAAGGTATGTATATAATAATATGAACTTATGTTAGTGAGTTGCGTGTGGATGGGTGTTTGTATATAGTTTTAGGTACATTGGATACGTCGTTAGGTATTCTAAGTGGGCGTGTACAAAAAGTTAAATTTATAAACAAGAGAATTCTCGGGCGCGAAAAGGAAACGTCAGAATGAGTTGTAAATTTAAATACAATACAATTTCAAAACAACTGTTTGTTTGGAGTTTTTCCTTTTTGATTTTTCTTTTACGTTTCAACACACATTTCAGTTGAAATGTGAATCTAACTTTGTCATGAAGTAACATTTTAAGAGCTTGGCTTTTAAACATATGAAATGCATAGCGTTGGATTTTCAAACATTTAGAATATGTTGTATAAAATGTTAAAATCTTAGCTAAAAACATTAAATTTCGTACGGATGCATATAGAAGAGATTAACACTAATCTGAAGCATATTGGATTTGACTTTGTTCTCAGAATATGTAGATATATGTAGTGTATATATGTGAACACGCGATTTATCATCTCTATTTAATATTTATGTATTACTAGTACAACAACAACAATCAATGTTGCAAAAGCAACAGAGCAACAACAACCCCAATTCTATTTTAAAGTCGACTTCCGTTTCCCTGCGCGAGAGCTCAGTTAGACGCAGCTGAACTTAATGCCGTCATCGCTGGAGTAGCAGTTTTGGCAGTGCAGCTTGTGGTTTCGCACACGGACATCGGTTCCATTGAGGCCATCTCCCAGCTGGACGTGGCAGACGCAACACTTGAAGCAGTTGATGTGGTAGAACAGCAGAAGCGACTCGATGATCATGGCAGCGCCGCGGCCTGTGGAATTAGTTAAAGAAACTTTTAGCTTAGTTGCGGGATTAGGGAAGTTACTGAAATTAACGAAATTTAAAATACAAGCTTGTTGTAATATATTTTGTATAATCAGTGCACAATTGCAAACCAAAATAAGTGATTGTAAACCGCGTTTACGTAGACTACAAATATACGACAACATAAAGGCTGTGGCCAACACCACGGCTTAGATATTATATTCCGCTTCCAAGATTTATTCAATATACCTAAAATATTTCAAACTGTTAAGCTAGTCCTTTTCAAATTACACCCATACAATATATTTGAGCGCTTTGTGCACCTGCCGACAATTGTCGTGGGTGCAGCCCAGATCTGTCACAGACATGTAAGTGAGAAAGTAAACTTATTGACAAAGAGTTTATAACAATAGGAAGGAGAAAGCATAAATGATTGACCGAGCCCACCATGAGACTAGTGTATCCAAGTGTGTTCTATTCATGAGATTCTCCAAGCCTAGATGTTCTCAAAAATGTCGATGAAAGAGGGGTATGGGGTTTAAAAGAACAACCACAACACTCACAACCAACGTAGTAGCAAAGTTTACCTAATTCGTCACCGCAATGGGAGCACTTCTTCTTGCCACTGACGCTGAGCACCTTCTCCTGCCCCTGACTGCTGTTGCCATTGATGCTGCTGCCGTTCGTGACATTCTTCTGCTGTTGCTGGTAGACATTGTTGCCATTTGCCTTGCTATAGTTGCCGTTGCTATCGAAACTGTTGGTAAAAAGAAGTGAAGCTATAATAAAGGGTCTATAAGGAGTTCAATTGGACCTAAATGGTATCAGTTCATCCTTTAGTTTCTAAGCTATCGCATAACATGCCTTTTAACATGTATGTGATTTACTTTGTAGCCTAGACTGGACCACTCACCGCTTCCTATCGCCGATTCCTTTGCTTTGGACCCGCTCCGTCAGAGTTTGTATAATGGAATCGGGCAGCGGCTTGGCCATCGACTTGCCGGCCGGCATAGACAGCCGATTAAGTTGCTCGATGCGTCGCTGCTCCGCCTCCTGGAGTAGCCAGTGGTTGTTATTGTAGAGTGCTCCGCCGTAGTCCGGCATGGATTTGCGTTTTTGCTGCTGGGCCGACAACCAAGCCACATCGCTGCTCTGTTGGCTGTCGGAACTCTTTCGCACCTGCACCCACCCGTCCGCGTACTTTGGTTTTGGGGTGGCACTCAAAGCGAGCAGTGTGTTCCTGGACATATTGCTCAAGTTTTGGGTCGACTGGTGATGGTAAGCTGCCGCTGCCGCTGCCGGCGCTTGGACGGCATATCCTTGACCAGGGAGCCGTGGCGGTATTGGTGTTCCAGCAATCTTCACCAGAGAGCCACCGTACGGAGCCGGTTGTTGGCGCTGCCTCGTGCTAACCGCATAATCTGGTTCTAGGCCATGACCACTGGCGTTCAATTGCATGGCCCTCAAAGGCTTTGTGGGCGGCGTTGGCGGCAGCATCAGGCAGTTGGAGAACTCGTTCAGATCTGACATGGACTTGCGGTAGTCCGTGTCCATCTGGTGATATGCATGCAAAGCCACCTGCTGCTGATGCTGCGGAACATTGGCGTAAATCTGCTGCGAGTGCAGTGGTGGCATTGGAACCTGGTGGTGTTGCGATGGTTGGAAGGCACTTAACATTCCGTTTCCGATTCCTAGGCCGTGGTGCAGATCCTGCAGCGAGCGCCGGTTGTTCGACATCAGCATCTTGGCTCCGTGTTGCAACTCTCGACGCGCAATATTTTCTCGAAGCACAAGATTCTCACGTTGCCGTTTCAGTTCCTCCTGCTGTGAAAGAGTAGTTTAAATTATTCACTTTTCCCGTTGATAACCATAGTTTTTTGTGCCTATCAGTAATTTATTAAACCCCAAACTTACCGAGAAATGCAGTAGCTCGCGTTCCACCCGCAACATCTCTCCCTGCTCCCGGATCTTATCCTCGATGGACTGCATCTTGGCGTTGGCCGTTGCTGTAGCTTCGCTCAAAGATTGGGTGGCCGCAGCTGCGGCCGTCGCTGATTCTGTCCAGGACTCGGCCGAGTTTCCCTTGGCCGTCTGCAGAAGCGGCGTCTGGGCAGCCAAGAGGCTCTCATTTTGGTATATGACTTCACCCACTTGGGCGGTCGACGGTGGCGGAGGCAATGGCGGAGGCGTGGCCTCTGACTGTGTATCGTTCTCCTCGGAGGAGTTCGTGTAGTGCTCACTGCTCTGACGCGAATGGTTTTCCGAAACTCCAGAATCGCGACTTTCACCTTTGACAAAAGTAGACAAATTGCGTGGGTTATATTGGTTTAAGTTTGTGTTATGATGACTATATTCAATATCTATGAGTAATGGAAGAGGCCAATCCATTGGAACATATAATTATTTAGGATAATATACGTTAAGTGGAGTTTCCACAATAGTTTCCAAATAATATACGTTTTTTATAACACTAACCTTTTCATTCATACTTCGTAAAAATATATATTTCCTTTCATCTATGTAAAATAAGAAATATTCATTTTGCTATTTTATCTAATAAAATACTTGGTTTACGAATTTATCTTTTTTTACGAATATCGGAATAGGTTCGAAAACCAGCAGATTCGTTTTCGGTAGTTCATTCAACACAAAGTTGGGAAAGCATCTCAGTCACAGCTTTGGCAGCTCCATGGGCCACGCACACTAAACGGATTATTTATATTTAACCTCGTGGGGCAGATGGGGGCCACCTTATACCCTCTGGCCTGTCGACACCCTTTCCCCATCCAGCTAGTGATTTGCTCAATGCTCTCTACTTTCGCTTTTATGCCACGTTGGCTTTTGGTATCGGCTTTCTTTTACACACATCGATGCTCTTCTTACAGGCTACATAAAGACTATATCGACTCACCTGTGTCGGAACTGTCGCAGAGTCCCGCCTTGATGTACAGCTGCTTCTCCAGTCGGCGCTCCTCCTGCAAGAGCTGCGCCATATCCGGCGGCGGGGCCACTGTGAGCTCGAGATAGGTTTCCATGTCGTCGAGATCGCCGTCGGTTTCGATGCCCAGGAAGCTGGAGCGCTTGTTGCGCAACTCCTTTTTGATGCGTTTGGTCGAGTTCATCCGCTTGATGGGCGGAGAAGGCTGGGCGGGTTGTCCCTGAAGGTGCCGGCGGGTGCCGTTCGATATGGTCTCGTAGGTATTGTCCGATGACCAGGTGTCTGTGTTGTGGCCAAGACTGCTGCCCAATCCATCCAGCTCGTCGACGTGGCCCTCGTCCAACGGAATCGGACTCTCGGTGGGCGGAGGTGGTGGCTTCTCCTTGGGTGGCTGCATCAGCCCTACTGGCGCCCCCACAGATTCCTGACTAATCTCCAGGGCCGAGTAGAAGATCTCGACATTTTCGTAGACGGGAACCGGCCTCAAATGCTTAGGGGCATCGTAATAGGGCTCCGCGGCCTTCGGCACTTGGTAGTACGGCTCTGGTTGTTCCCCCGGGTTTGTTGGTGGCACGGGGGTCGCTGCTGATATTGCCGATGTTGCCGATGTTGCTGCTGTGCTGCTCTCTTTTTGATTCCTGCTGTTGTTGGTTTGATTAGGGCTTTGATTATTCTCGTTATTGTGGCTGGTTGGCTTGTTTGGAATGCTTCTCCTGTGACTTCTCCGCGTCGCTTGGGTCTGTGTGGTTATCGTCATCGTTGCTATCTGTTCATTATCTACTTCATGCATAGATATAGTCGAGCTGACATTCTCATAGATGGGCTCTCGTCCCCCCTGCATCTGCTTATCGGTTTTATTTGGCATTTCCCCACCCTCGGTGTATGATTCCCCCTGCTCATTGGACTCCTCCTCGTGCCGCTCCTCGCAAATTGGCTCCTGCTCCTCTGGCTGATCTCTCAACTCTTCCTTCTCCTCCTGCTTCTGTGGATGGTGTGCCTTGTCCATTGGCTTGGTGGTCGCCTCGCGATCAATAGCTTGCAGCGCCAATTCAAGAGCTTCGTTGATCTGTAGAGTGGGATGAGTGGGCGTGACATGGCGAGCGAGCGAGAAAGCGTCAAAAATGTGCATGACAGAGAAAGAGAGAAAAGTGCGCATGGATCGCATGAATTTTAGTTAGTTGCAACATAGGCTGTCTGGCTAATTAAACAAAACAAATGAACAAACGAAATTAAATTAAATTATACACCGGAAATTAATTAACCCAAAGCTGAAGGAAAAACAGAACAATGCATTACTGACGGAATTCCGATGCACTTCCCGGAATCAGCACGATAATACTAATAACCCAATATATTGGCAGATTACCCACTCGAGTATCTGGATCTGGAGCGAAGTACGAAGTAATAAGTACGGTTAATACCTTACTATGCACTATCGGATTATGAATAGTCGGAATAGAATAGCTAGAATCCCTTTGTCGCCTGCGCTGGTCGACTGAAGTATTCGTAACTAGGATACGAACAGATTTTGGACATTCTTGTGTCCCATTTGTGTGTGCATTTATCACCTCGTTCCGACCCTTTAAGCTCGCACGAGATTGCAGGAACCGATTATATGTGCAAGAGAAGCACTTGAGCACTTAAGGCAGCCGCTTACCCCTGGTGTATGATCGACACGATTCCAAGAACTGGAGCGCTGCAATCGGTTTATTGGTATCTGTGGGACGAAATTTAGATACTGTCCAATGCGAATAATTCGCGATTATATTATTACGGGGCGCCGTAAAGATAACACACCGCAAACACAGGTGTGAGACCGGGAATATGCGGAACTTCCTCGGCAGAACCAATGCCGTTGAGGGCTTTAAGTACACTAAACGTAGGCGCAGCAGCGTCAAAACGACCCAACGATTTGTTTAGATACTAAGGGAGGCGATACACTGGGCTGCAAAACTGCGAGAACAGCAATCCAGGGTGTATAGACGGGGTGGATACAAATGCCCGACCCGACTATACCCCCCAAAGTATGCAGCGCCGAACTGAAGCTGAAGCCGAACTGAAACCCCACTAGGCGGATGAGTGACATTTGGCATTTAATACAAGTGCTAAGTGGGTAAAACGAAACATGCAATGCAACTTAGACCATTAGAACGAATACAGGCGGACAGCCAAACAAACAGAAATAAAGGCAGAAAATTAAAAAGAAGAGTACAAATGGCAAAACAAAAGGCACAAAAGGCACACAACAGGGGGATATAAGATTGAGAGACCGCTTACCTCGGAAATTGTATACTTGCAACAACTTTTGTTGGCAGTAAGCATGTAAACTATGTAACTGCATCAAAAGATAAATCATATTTTACATTTTTTAGCCAACAAAGGAGGGCAAGGCATGTAAGAGAAATATATACACGAATTATGGCAAAAGGTGAGTCAGATAGCATGTAGAATTAAGACTTAAAAACCCTCAACCTTTGGTATAAAGATGGGAAATCCAGGGGATCGTAGACATGTGGAATATCGGGATCCATTGCTTTGTCCACATCTATTGTTGGCACTTTCCCGGATAATTTTCTCTTTCTCTGGAGCTCGAACTTCGTTAGCAAATTTCAAATCATTTCACGGATCCGACGTTAATAATGTATGCATAAACATCTAAACTCAACTTCACACAAAGTAAACATTTCATTTCTACGCCTAATTGTCTGTATCATCTGTGTCTACATAAGCTATCTACATTCTACACCGCAACTGAACTAGGCTGCCAAGCAGTGCAAGCAGTTCAATTTCTAGCGACACTGTATGTATTTATTAGCAGCGTGAGAAATATGAATTTGAAGTTATCAATCCTGCAGTTTTATCAGATTGATTTGGATTTTAGTTATGGTTTATTAAAAAATAGAATAACAATTTGATCTCGATTGTATTATTAATTTTTATAGTTCTTTAATTTATTTGGTATGCTTTTGCGGTTTATATTTAATTATTTTTGTGTATTAGCGCGAAATTAGTGAAGTTTACGATCTTCCTTTTATTTTGGTGTGTAGTTTGTGTATAAATATATATCCATAAAACATATGTTTGACAATTGTTTATATAAAATCAAATTTTCTATTCATACATCATTTTTGGGTTTAGTATAGTATGTAATTAAGTAAAGAAAAACTGTAGATTACGTAGCTTGAGCCCATAACAAAATGTAAACAAAAAGTGAATAATGTCAAAAAAGAACGGAAACCATAGTAAAAATAAATTCGATTGAAATTATCATTCGTTGATTATCGTTTCGATTATAAAATGTTCAAGTACCAATTCGACAAAACATGTGTTAATCTGAGAGAGCCATTTAAGGTCAGTGAATAGCTGGAAGGAAAGATCCTGAGCTATTCTAATGACGCAAAGGTGTTGGAGAGATCACGTACCACTCCGATATATGGGGAACTCTAATCACCCAACCCTGTAGGTCAAGGGATGTTGGTGACTTTGAGACCAATGTCAATTCTCCAGTTTCATGATCTCGTCGTCTAGCAAATCGCTTATTTCCTGGGTCAGCGCCTGTTCTGTGGTATTTTCCTCTAATATCTCATTTGTGGTGATTTTTTTTCGAATCTCAATGTTGACAGGAGCAGGGGTCTTAGGCAGAGGAGGTGGCACTGGCTCGTCCTGCAGCTCACTTGCCAAGTAGAACTTTGAATTGTCTACCCGAACATATTCATCCGCATCGACCACATCTACGCCACTCTTGGTGCTGGTGAGCACCACCTTTTTCTCAAGGGTCTCATTCAGGGTGGGATGATGCTGCTGCTCTTCCTGATGCCCAAAGTTTCTACGCAGGAAGTCAAATATGTTCTTGGCTTTCTTCTCCTTAGCTGGTGATGCATGGTGCTGAGTCGGCTCCTCTATCTTGGGGGAACAGGGTGGGGAGATCTCCTTGACCTTGATCTCTGTTTCCACCACATGAGTGCGCGCTATTAACGGCTGCTGAGCACTTCCCGAGAGGTGTGAGGGTGTAGCTGGTGCATAGCCCGCTCTACTTATTGAATCAGTTCCAGATGCCGAAATACAGCAGGGCTTGGGTATTGGAATCTTGGACTTGCGGCCTACGAGCGGGGTCGACGGTTTCTCCACCGACTCTGGCATCGAAGTCTTCATCATCTGACTGCTAGCTATGCGCTCCTCTGCAATGATCTGCTCGCAAGTGTCCATCAAAGCCTTCGAGTGAGCTGCCCTGACATTGTTAATGGGTGAGCTTGGTCTGTTTGCGATAACAGCATTTTTATTATATCTATCGCACTTTCTCACCTCCTCCTCACTGATGTCCTGGAAGCCAGTGGCCGGCACTGGATTCTTTCTCACATCGACGCTGTCGCAAATGGGCTCCTGGGCTGGAGCCAAACAGTCTAGTAATCCCGCACACAGGGCAATGTCTTCCTGGCTGGGTAAGCCGTCTGGCTCGCTTAGCGTTTCGTATTTATTTTTGCCATCACACCTCTTCACCAGATCCTCGGTCACAATCTGGATACCAGTATTGGGCAGGGGTGATTTGGTCACATCAATCTTATCACAGGGCTTCTCCTCTACAGCAAACTGCTCTATTCTCCTGCGGTCTTCTTCGGACATTGTGATATCCCTTGGGGCTTCTCTATCCAGGAATTGCTGATACAAAGCCACATCCACCGAAGGCGAGGTTGGTCGTGACGAAGCCAACTTGAACAAGCTGGATTTATTCGGGACACAGGCTTTCAAAGAAGGCATCTCGCTGGGCGAGGATGTGTGCATGTACAGTGAGTCGTTGGGTGCTAGGGGATCTAGACTTGGGTTTACTTGGGCGCTAATTTTGCTAGGGGGCGTGTGTACAATCGCCTTGGTTTCACCAACAACTGGGGCATAGTCCCCGGAGCTACGATCGACCTCGTCAAGCTGAACTCGTTTCGGGGGCTTTGGAGAAGAGGGTGATGTGGCCTGGGGAATGCGACCCGTATACAAAGGTTTTCGCGACATTATGGGTGAAGTAATCGGATTGAAATCGCTCTGGCTAAAGCAATTAGAAAGGGCCTTCACAGTATTCGGTTTGGGCAGCTCGTCGGGATCAACGATGGTCATAGGAGGACCGCACATTACCACTTCTGGCGAAGGAATCGCTTCCTTCACTGGATGCTCAGTGCTTACAGGTTTCTTGGGAGGAGCTGGTGGCGTGGGCGGCTTGTCTAGTTGCCGTGAATTAAAAATCTCCACACGTCCATTGATACTGAAATGGGGGGGTGAAATTCCAGAGTTCGTGGGTGAACCTAAAGGATTTATATGTTCCTTAGAACTGGACGCTAACCTCACCGCTTTGGGCGACATGGGCGGCTTGCCCAGGGGTCGCGGTATCTGGGTGGGAATCGGAGTGGAAGTTTCTGGTACAGGTATTGGTATGGGGGAATTACTTGGCTGCTTGGTAAAGTCTATGATCTGAGTAAACTGACCCGACGAGGTGACCAGCTCACTGGCCTCTTTCAGATCGTCGTCGTTTTGAAAGGTTTCCTTGAACATTTTAAGCAAATTGCGATGATGCACCATTTCATTGGAGGGCTTCCTACGCAAGTTACAATTGGGAGAGAAGGATACCGTATTTGAAGTGGATGTGGGATTGGGAGTGGGGCCAGATTTCGACACCGACACCGCTGAAGCAGCTACTACATCAACATCACAAGGACTTATCTTAGCGGGTTCGATAAAATTGTTAGTACAACTTACACTAAATTCCATGTCCCGCAATGGAGGAGCAGCCGCCTGATTGACCGCTTGTGCTGGAACCTGAGCGGCTGTCGATTGATGGATGCTTTGTTGAACCGACGGAAGAGCTGGTGGCAGTGGCGAGGGATACCGATCAGTCAGCTCATCGAACTCCGCTTCAATTTGGTTGACCGCATTGGCTGCCTCCTCTAACTGGAGCTCCTCGAGGGCCAAGGCGGCGATGGCTGCGTTGAGTTGCTGCTGTTGGTGTAGCTCATCAGTTGTGTCCTCCTGAATGCCGCTGTCATCGTTGGTATCTGCCACCGGCGGTTCCTCTACAATTAGGGCAGGAGGAGCTGGCGTAGATGCACACAAAGTGGTTTGGGTTTGTAGAGTATGCTTCTCTTTCAGTTGCTGCTGCTGGCGCATACGTTCCTCTTCTCCCCTCATGATCTCCAGTTGTCTGGCATCGATGAGCGCAACCAACGGGGGCTTCTTCTGCTCCTCTTTGGCAACGGACTGTTGTAGACTGCTTAACCGCTGCTTAAGAGGCGGCACCGGCACATCCACGCTCTTGCTGGAACTGAAAGCCTTTCGCTGCTGTTCCAAGCTCTGCATGCGATCTCGAATGCTGGAGATGTCACCAGAAAGACGCCTCACTTCCGAGGTAGTGGGAGATGAATTTCCATTGGTAAAACCATCACGAAGTACCAGTTTTGGGGCAGCAGGAGCACCTTCGTTGGAGACTTCAGCCTTGGCCTGCTCGAAGATCTCCTTGCGTTTGGATATGTCCACCTTGGGCACGTCCACCTTTTGCTTCTCTACACCCTCCTGTGTGTCGCTTGGCGATGTCACCTCAAAACCACTTAATCGATCCTCAATTTTAGAGCCTCGCCTTGTGGGATAAGCAACGGGCTCTGCGATCGCCTTGCCGTTGGCGTTTCCATTGCCATTGCTGCTGGCCCGTTGAACTCTTTGCTTGTAGTCCTGGATGGCTCCCTCGTAGGTGTATTCACAGAGATCCGGAGAACTAGCTTGCGCGTTACTGGAGGACGTGTCGTATCCTGGAGAGGAGATGTATTCCCGCCCTGCTGATTTGGAGGAACTCGATGGTCCCGGCTGGCCAACAGCCCCTCCGTTCCTGTGGTTCCCATTGCTGCCGTTGCGGTTTATGTGATTCAGCTGCTCGTCTACGTTTTGGGCGGTTACTCCAGTATCTCCAGAGCAAGCTACTCCAATCGCCTTATCCAGCGCCGCCGCATGGTCGCTCTATTTGTAAAAATATAAATAAAATTTATATAATAAAATAATATAATAAAATTTGGAATTTGTACAGAAAAGAGCAGATATGGAATTAAATGCAAAGTATATTTTGTCACCTGAGGACACACTAGTTGTACTATATTTTCTTAAAGCTTTATAGCTTAAGCGCTTTTTTAAATCGAGTAGTGCTATTATACCCGTTACTCGTAGAGTAGAAGGGTATACTAGATTCCTTGATTCCTATGTAACAGGCAGAAGGAAGCGTTTCCGACTATATAAAGTATATATATTCTTGATCAGGATCAATAGTGGAGTCGATCTGGCCATGTCCGTCGGTCCGTCCGTATAAATGTCAAGATCTCAGGAACTATAAAAGCTAGAAAGTTGAGATTAAGCATGCAGACTCCAAGCCACTCTAACGCCCACAATTTGGGAAATGTTTTGATGTTTTGTCTTGTAAATTTCTATTGGTATGCCATAAATTTGTTTGCCACGCCCACTCTAACACCCTTGACAAAGCTTTCAAGCCCACAGTTTTGAAAACGTGTTAAAATTGTTTATTTTTAGTATTCGTCTTGTTCATTTCAATCGATTTGTCAAACGAGTTTTTTAAACGCCCACTCTAACGCCCAAAAGCCGCGCAAAACTGTCACGATCACAATTTTGAAACATTTTTTTAATTTTTTTTCATTAAATTCTTTTCTTCCCTATTTCTATCAATATGCCAGAAAAATGTAAAAATTTCTCGTTCGCACTTCTAGTGGAAGAACTAAGATGTTGTGATTTTAAACATTGCCACGTCAACAAGTCCCGACAAAACCCTGTAAATACAATTTAGTGTTTTTTTCCCGATCCCAAGAACTAATATATTATTTTCCAGCTTAGGACATTTTATGGGCTGGCGACCAGCGCACCCAATTGTTCGATCCGTAGCTCAATCTTTCGCTTGGTTTCAATCTTCAGTCTGCACACTTTAGATAGTTTGTGATTCATTGATTACTATTTATGATTGGTATTTTGATAACCACAATAAAGTGGTGCTTGTGTGGGCATTTGACTAATAATCTATTTGTGTTTTTAGCCCATGTCGCATCGCTTCGCTGGCAACACTTTCCAATAAGTCTTGAAAGCACGAGCTTCATATGCAGGCAAAACACAAATTAGATTTAATTGTTACTTTAATAGTTTTAAGCGCTGTGACACATAAATGAGTCTTAATAATGGCAATAAAATTGAGACGAAGCAACTGCCACTAGAAATGGTGCTGAGATATGTCCTTACTACTGTGGCGATGTGCTTCGTTGGTTGGAACTCACCATAACACTGTTATTGTCATAGTCCTCTGACAGGCTGCTCTTTCCGCTGGCACTGCTGGTTCCGATCCCCAGATCGCTCAGGTCGTTCGTCTCATCCTCGTTGTATACGGCCAGAGAAGCCAGCTTGGCACGTCCCCGAGGTCCGCCCCTTCCAGCCCTGTGAGAATATTTATGTGTTTTAATAAAGTTTCATATATTTTCAGGAGGTATATCACAGGTGTTGAAGGCGAAATCGGGCTGCTTATGGCGACTTTATAAAGGGATATTTCAATTAAATTTCTTAAAAGATTACGTTACAAACGGATATTCACAAAAACTTTTTGACTAGTCTTCGATCAGAATTATCAAAGAAACACTGCGATGTCTTTATCACTTGATACTTGAATTTTAGGCATTTAATAGGAATTTGTCGACCGTGGTAGGACTCGAATTTCGTGGAGCAGGCTAGATCGCTAGATCGGAACTTGGACTTGTACTTGCCTCTCCTCCATCATTTCGGTGAATGTTTTCGATTTTCGGCGCAAGCGATCATGCTCCTCCAGTTCGAGTTTCTTTGTCTCCACCGCTCGATCGATGATGTGTTCGACACGTTTTCGTCTTGATGATTTCCAATTGTCAAGGTTCTGTTTGTGTATATTCCATTTGTTATTAGTTTTTTGTCCCCGGGTTTTGTTGTTTGTTGGCCATGTTTTGTTTTGGGCAGAAAGGCAGCGAAAGTTTGTATAGAAAACGAAATGCGCAGACGTGTAAGTGTAAAATGTCATTGTGTTATTCGCACTGGGGAAGTGGACGAGCTGGAGTAAGTTTCTTTTGATGGCAATTAAAAAGTTTTGACGCGGCTGCGGAACTACGTGACAAAGGTGAAATGTTTCCAAGCCGCGCGTAAACTTCGCTCAGTTTCATGGTTTTCAGTCGTTACCGAAGTAAAGAATTTATGATCCAATTTTTTATGAATCAGTGAAATGTGCCACTGTTCAGATTACTCTACCTTAAAAACCTGATATTCTTCCTAATATATTATAGGTTATTAATCAAAAAGCTGTTCTCTTGTTTCCTGGGTTGAGTTACAGTTTAAACGTTTCCGGTCGAGTGAGAGGGTTTCGATAGATCTGCAAATTCTGATTACTACATTTAAATTTGAAAGATTTTCGCAATTTATACACGAAAGCCACTAAGTGGCATTTGATCTTTCCTTTCAAGCAAAGTTGGTCGCCCAGTTGCAAAACGCCGTACGCATTTTAATGGATTTCTTCTCTTTTTCTTTTTGGCCCACATCCGTAACCCAAAGTTTTGTCTGGGAACCTAATAAATTTCGAAAAGCTTATGCCCATGGAACATTGATCAACCGCCGAAAGACACTTTAAATGCAGCGGCTGCATCAAAATGGCTGATTCGGTAATTAGTTAAGTACAGTCACGTCAAAAGCAACTCTTTGTCGGGGTTATGGCAGCAGTAATTTGCATGTAACACACAATATTGTGCAAGGAAAATAGAAGTGGGCAAAAAGCAGGCAACGAGAAAAAACAATCAACAAAATGTAATAGAGATTATGCAATGCAGTATATTTGTGCCCGGTAACGGGCGACGTGTATTGGAAACTGGAGCGGCCATAACGAGCCATGTGATATGTGCCATGCCCAAGTGATTTCGCTTTAGTTTATCCGGGGCTGTAAGTTTCCGACATCCAGCCACAAAACACCAACCACAAACAAAAAAGATAAACCTAGTTTCGGAAGCCGATTCTTGAAATCGGTTTTACTCAGATGTCCCGATTAATTTTGTAGATTAGGTTAAATTCCTGAAACTAACTATACTATGCATACTGGTCTGTATTATAAAAGGTCTGAACAGTTTTCGTCAAGCCTTTTTAAAGGCAGATCAAAATGTCAGAGCTACGATTCACGACTCTTTCATTAAAAATTTCTATAGACTCGTTGAAAAGTATGTTAAAGGTAGAATGAAGCGTTTCCATCCATATAAAGTATATACATATATTCTGGATCAATAACTGAGTCGATTTGGCTATGTCCGTCAATCCGTCCAAATGAACGCCTCGATCTCAGAAACTATAAAAGCTAGAATGTGATTAAGCATGCAGATTCCAGAGAATCACGCCCACTCTAACGGCGACAAGCCGCCCAAAACAGAAACGCCCACACTTTTGGAAAATGTTTTGATATTTTTTTTTGTTAGTCTTGTAAATTGCAATTGAGTTGTCAAAAAACTTTTAGCCACGCCCACAAGCCGCTCAAAACTGTCACTACCAAACTTTTGAAACTTTTTTTATTTTATTAATATTTTTCTCAACTTCTATCGATATTCCACAAAAATGATGAAATTTCTCGTTCACACTTCCACTAGCTGAGTTTACGGGTATCAAATAGTCGGGTAACTCGACTATAGTGTTCTCTCTTGTTTGTATATGTGATATAAACTTACGTTCTGCCACTCCTCTGGCTCCTCCTTCTTCACCTCCTTAAGCTTCTTGACCTCCTCGGCCTTCTTCAGCTGCTCCTGTGCGGTTTGATAGAGGTTGCAGGGCTTGATCTGGACGAACTGCATCGGGTTCTTCGAAGGAGCGGGAGGCGTGGGCCGCGTCACCCGCTGCTTGGTCACGTACGGTGTGGGATCCGGCGAGGTTACGGACTAAATTAACAATAAGTGCCGTAAATGCAATAAAATGAAGCATGTATAATTAGCATGAATTGCTTGAATTGAGCGGAGTTGGGTGGTGGGTATGTCAGGGGACAGATGTCCAGGGTGTGGAGTCATTGATACTGCTTTCATGTAAACGTGTGGGCAGTAGCCTATAATGCTGTAGTTTCTTATTTTAAATTGCATTGAATTGCTTATTAAGCTGGCGTCCTTGACCATTTGGCATTTCAATATTTAGTTGCATAAAGCATTCAGCAGCAACTCTTATGTTATATTGGGTAATACTTGAGGTCGGAAAAAACTTCGAGTCCCTACTAGTCCCCCACTAGTCCTTACTAGTTCCTGAATAGTCCAGAATTTTCAGTTTTAAGAAAGTAAAATTTTTTAAAAGGGAAATGGAATGCATCCCCAACTACCCACATGATGGGCAGGTTTAAGCTCAACTTACCAATTTTTTGCCGCAACCATTTGAGTCCCCGCCATTCGTGGACGATGTGGCCGATGTGGACATGAGGTCTTCCCTGCCCTCCAGCACGACCTCCTGATCAGTGGCCTCCATTTGGAGCTCCTTGATGGTGCAACGTGTCTGTGGATATCTGTCGTGTGCTCTACTCTTTTCCTATCCGCCCTCCGTTGAATGTTGTGTTTGTTGACAGATCTCTGCTCACATGACAGCAAACTTCTACGCGGGTTCCTTGGCCTCTGGTCAATGACTCACCATATCTCCGAATTCGATTCAAAGGCGATGCACCACGCACATCGGGCGAGGTCCTCGGATGTAGTCAATTTCATTAGCTGAAAGCTGAAAGAAATAAAATCATATTGAGTATAAAACCATGATAATGTGGTGTCGGAAATTGGAGGCCTCATCTATGAACCGTTAACCCCCAGTACGAGCTTTTCAAGTGGGCAGGTGTCATCATGAGCTGAGCCAATTCCTGGCACGGCATCCGTGATGGATCTGCACAAAAACTTACAAGCATTTCCTCAACCGACGGACGACGATAGCTCAACAATGCTCGAAAAGTACAGTGCGAAGTTTAATTAACAGCCATCAAAGTGCAATTGATGCCCCGACCGTTCCTCTGTCTAAGTGGATTCCGCTCTTGCCTCCAACCCGCACGATGGTATGCGGGTCAATCTTAAAAACTTCTACCACACCAATCATCGTGCCCCACCTAATTCTTACATACACCAGCCCACCAAGAGTCATCCGCATAGTTCTACCCGCCATTAACTCCATGTGACCCGGTATTTGAAAATCGCTTTGCTACGCTTTTCATTCCCTCCTTCTAATTAATATCTATTAGTTTTCCTAATTTTCCCTTGTTTATGAATACAGCACAGCATTCCTTGGGATTTTCTTGAAAAGTTTGTTCAACAGCTTGCGAAAAGAGCGGGCCTTTGCCATCGGGAACAACAGTTACTGGGTCTGTATACACATTACTTATGAGCGAAAGGTACGGCTTACCATTTTGTGAAGAGCAAACATTATCAAGACTGACGCCGATAATTTATGCGTTCTTTGTAATGCCCCGTTAGTCAGATGTGCTAAAAAATTTGCCTCTATCTGGTATTATCTGGTGGATTACTAATATTCTGTATATGTCGCGGGCTTTCATTTGCATATCAAAAGTGTTCCGCAAGAACAATAAGCCGACTTATTGAGCACCCAAGTTTTGCAGGTAGAACACTCAACTCAGAAGACTCCTCACAAGAGACGGCTCACAGAAAGTCGAGGAGGAAAAACCCACAAACGGCGCGAGGCTAATTAATCATATTTACGTATAATAATCAATCCTATGGCAAAACTAAACAGTTTTCGCAATAAGCGGTGGGTTAGTTTTAACCAAACGAAACTGCAGCATTAAACACAGAACAGAATTTAAACTTTTTGAAAACGAATCCCGCTTGGGGGTAGAAAATATTGGATGCAAGTTTTATTAAAATATCCTAATTAAACTCACTTTTATATTTATATTTCATCTACACAGATTTAATTATACTAATTTATAAAATATGTAGTTAGGTTATGCTCTTTCCATTCGGAAGTATAAACTATATAAGTTATTTACTATATACAATAAATTTACTATATAATTATATAAATATGGCTAGAAAAATATCAGCTTTAAAACCCATCTTAGTGACACCAACCGAGACTCAATGCGGCCCCTTTTATTAACCTCTTGATTGAAAATTATTTGATTATTATTAGTTACTATTGTTAGTTAATATTGATTATTAGTTACTTCGGTTCGGAGCGGTTCAACTCCGGGGTGATTCACAGCTCTGATTAGAACTGAAGCTAACAGATGGAACAAGTATAAATAATAGTATATCGAAGTGAGAATTAAATCATTGTTTCACGTACTTTATTAACTTATTATTTCGAATATTTCGAATCACCATTATTCTAGGCACTCAATCATAGAGTGAAGCTTTTTGCTTAACTAACAACTAATGCAAAAACATGCAGAGCTGCGACGTTATAAAAGGCGATCTTTGTCTACTTTTCACTTAAAATACAACAAACGAACAATACCCAGACCATTGTAACAGCAAAATATGTAATTAAATAATTATCAAGGATTTCAATCTAGAGAGGGGCAAACATATTACCTTATCAGGCGGTGAAATCAAGATTACGCACCACTTTGCCTTAGAACAATGAATAGGCTTGTTTTTCTCTGGGAAAAACAAATAGTAACAGTGGTAGACTTCATAGCGAAAGCTACGAAAGCAATCTGTGATATGTCGAACAGAAAATCACATTTAAATGGAGCCGGCGACATTTTTGAGTATCGCTATTCGATGACAAACGGAAATATAGACCTAGTGCTTTTTAAAAAAGGTAAAAATAAAAAATTACAGAGTGTGTGGGGTGAGTCGGCGTACGAAAATGGCTTTCCACTGACACTAATGACATTCAAATTGTTGCGCGTAAAGAAGCCATAAAAGCAAAAGAAATCACTATTGTCGAGGAATTCAGATACTCAGATACAATAGGTTAGCTAGGGGGAAAATTAGAATAATTTTGAAATCAAAACGTTTTTGTAAATTGTTGGCGTTAGATTGGGCGTTGCAAAATATTCTTTAATAGAAATCGACAAGACAATTGCCGGCAAAATCTTTAAATTTATGTTTGGTACTACTATTATGAAATCAACTATAGCGTTCAGTCAGAGGAGATCTATGTTATCAATTATCGAAGTGAGATAAACTTGATAAAATCTTGCTGAAGTGAGATCCTACCATGACCATACATTTATGATATTCCCTAACAAATTTAATCTCAAATCAATCAAGAAAATGGTCACTATAAAATAAAATTAACTTAAAACATGAAAACACCACTGTGCACAATAGCTCAAGTAGTGACGAAGCGCACCAGGCTGCTACTATTTTTATAAAAATAACAGTCTGCTGTGGTTTTCCTATCATACAGAGTGATACACAAACTAGAGTACCAAGACTTTGGAAAAATTAAACGGCTAAAAGACCTGGTGAGGAGGAACCTCTACAACAAAAAATATTAGAGAATTCTTATTAAGTACGTATTGATTGATACCTCATTTGTTAAAATAAAAAATTGCCAAAATCAAAATAAGTTTCTCTAAGATGATATTAGAAAGTTCATATTAGACGTGCACATTCCATAAATCGCGGCGAAGGGCTTATCATGCGCTGCAATGATATTTATTTATGCACAATATAGCAAACAGACTGTGTGACTTGCCATGCCAAAGCATGTGTACATGTAACACGTCTTCCACGGGCACTTCAATTGTCGATTTCACTTGCCCAGAGTTGTGCAACGAATTGAGGTTAATAAAAGACATTTTAACTATTGATAACTAGATTATTTGATCGGTTGCACGAAGTGATGATCATAAGGTCTGATCTTAGTCTGCAAAAGTATTATAGTAAAATGTATATCAAAACGTTCTACAGTTCACTAATCTTTTTGGCAAAAACATAACTTCTATACACTATTTGGAAAGAAACTATTTTGAATGAAGTCAAGACGCAATATTGAATTGAAGGCATTATCCATTATAAAAACCCGTAGAAATCATTACGTATTTCTGGCGTAACATCGACAACCAAAATCTCAAGCAAAAATTAAAGATATATTGAAAAAGCAAAAAAATCTATTTGTTCTATTTATTTGTTTAGTCAGGAATCCAATTACTTACTTGGACAACTTTATACTAGATTCGAAAAGTATATATCACGTCCAAAGAAGCGTTTTCAAACGAATACAGTAAATATTTTATGCTGGGACGAAAAAAAATTCAAATTCAGTGCTGTAGTCAACTTCCCCGACTATCAGACAACCGTTACTCAGCTAGTGGGAGTGCGATCGAGAAAGTTCAACATTTTATTTCGCATATCGATAGAAGCTGGCAATTAAAAGAAAGCCAAACAAATTTTCAAAAGTGTGAGCGTCTGCCCTTTTCAATGGAATCTGAATGCTTTATCTCAACTTTTATAGTTCCTGAGAACTAGACGTTCATTCGGACGTACAGACGGAAATAAGCATTTCCGACCTAATAAATGATATGTATTTTTTTATCATTGTCACTAGCCAAGTCGATCTGGCCGATTATCTGAGTAACGGGTATCTGATAAACGAGGAACTCGACCACAGCGTTCTCTCATGTTTTGTGATTGCATTACTTGAAATATTTTTCAAGCGTGGTCAGACAACGACAATTTGGAAAGTGGGGTGTGAACTGAACGGGTTTTCGTTGTTGCCTTTCCAATCTTATTAAAGACAATATCGGAATGCAAGTACATCAAACATAGTTGGGCAATTATCACGCTGCCGTGATCTGAGCGTAGATCAAGAGCACGCCCAGCGCGAACTGTTTGACAATTCGACACGCAAAAAGTTCAGTTCATTAACATTTTAATATCGATTAGTCAGCAATGCACTTTCGCTCAGCAGAGATACAATCACCGTCGAATTAAAATCGTACAATTATAGCTACATATATCTGCATCTGTCTACACGATAGCACGCAGTTGGCTTGTATTAATAACACATTCTTCTGACTTTCAATTTGTATCTCTTCGACTGTGACTTGCTGGTCTCCATCTATGCCACCGACAACTATGGCTGTCCTTCTCTGGGGGCTGAAAATTGGCACATCATCACTGGCAGAATTAAGCAAATGAAAGGAAAACCAAACAATACCCATATAATCGTACATCGCTTAGATACGTTCCATTTTAGACCAACTGCAGTTTACCACCCAAAATACAGGCAAATTGTGTTGCCATCTGTGATGTATTCACTAATTTTCTTTGGCGCACATGTCGAGAAAACATTAATCAATTTTTAAAGCTCGATTTCGAACGGTTCCAGATTTTGGCGGAAGCATATCTCCGTTGATATGCGGTTTCCATTAAACACGTTCACTTTTCTGGCTGACCCGTTTCACGTTTCGCCTCCAGAGTAGGTTCAAAAATTATTTTTTGCTTTAAAAATTACTTACATGTTAAAAATTTACATTCGTACACACCCATGGGACACGCCCCAGAAAAAAGGTTGCCAAGAACGTTTTCTGGCTAAGGCTAAAATTTCATACATGGATAGCAGCTTTAGGAATTGAGTTTCTACCAGGGCGTGACAGAATGCTTAATCACAGTGGACGGCAGTCCACGTAGGTACGAATGCGAATGGTACCACGGTTAAGGACGTCAGAGAGTAGTGAGCAACCAATGTAACTGCCGGCCGGTGGCGCTAGTAACTAATCTCGGAAACAGTAGCGTACCTGATTAAGAGCGTTATCTTTTGTTCCAACTGTGGTTTTATTTCATTTAAGGGAAACTAACGTCAGTAGTTGTAAAACTTTGGAGGCTGAAATCGTCGTTTCCATAAGGCAAGAGTACATTTGCTCCATGCCCGTACTATGGAGGTAGAACTAGTAGGAAGTGAGCACATGTGCAAGGCACATGTAGCATAAAACCAAATAAAACTTTATTTTAGGGCGCGCCGCAGTTTATACGCATCTCCATTGTTTTGGAGCACGATTTGTGCTACTGGTAAAAGTGAGTTTGGGGTCTAATGCATCTATTAATAGTTTCCAGCCATCCTGAAGTCGTTCCATGCTATTACATTAAAACTGGTGTTGCTCTCAATTTCCTATTATTTGGTTTAGTACAATTTTCTTAATTTTACTCAGCTAGTGGAAGTGCGTACGAGAAAGGTCTTAATTTTCTTGAATATGTGTAGAAATTGCAAAAAAAAAAAAAAAAAAAAAAAATATTAACAAAAATTTTAAAAATTATCAAATGTGGGCGTGAAAGTTTTTGTCGGCTCGTGAGCGGTAGAGTGGGCGTGGCAAAATGATTTTTGATAAAAAAAAAAAAAATGAAGAAGTATCAAAACATTTTTCTAAAGTGTAGGTGCAGCAGTTTTGGTCCGTTTTGGGCGGTATAGTGGGCGTGGCCACGAGAGAAATTTTCAAGACTAATAAAAAAATTTAAAAATATCAAAACATTTTTCAAAAGTTTGGGCGTGAGAGTTTTGGGCAGTTTGTGGGCATAAGAGTGGGCCTGGCAATATAATTTCTCTATATCTCTGGAATCTGCAGTCCTCATCTCAACTTTCTAGCTTGTATAGTTCCTGAGATCTCGACGTTCATACGGACGGACAGACAGCCAGACGGACATTCCGAGTAACGGGTTTAATTACAGTGCCAATTAAATGTGGCCTTTTTGTTTTTAGCATACCAAATTAAAATGCACTTATTATACGTGGCTTATGTTCCAAACTGTATGATATCATTTCCAAAATTGATCTATTAATAATGATTGTAATTATTCAAGTATTAAAGCATGGCAGAACGCTATAATCGAGTGACTCGACTATTGGATATTCTGGCAGTGCAAGGTACAAATTTCTAAATTCGGTTGAAAAATAAAAAAAAGGGGACAAGGCTTTGGATTATCAAAAGAAAATGTTGCATGCTTTTTACTAATTTTTAAGCTTTTTCAGATCCCGAGATCTCGGCTTTCACACGGAGACACAGGCAGAAGGACGCAGCCCGATCGATTCGGCTAGTGCTCCTGGTCAAGAAGATAGAAAGCGTTTCCGACTCTATACGGTGGTTTCCAACCCTATACGGGGGTCGGAAACGCATTCTTCTACTTATTACATGGTTTTCATCGAATTTAGTATACCTTTCAACTCTACGACTAAGGGGTATACAAATATAGTCATTTGAATAATCGGTGGTTGAGATTTGTCCAGTAGTCGTCAACATGGGCACCGTTTCAAACGTATTTTATTTAATCCTATCCTTCGGTATTATCCTCGAACTTGGTTCTATTGTAGGTACACAAAAATAATATTTTGTATACTAAAAAAATTGTTTCGTTAAGAATGCTTCCAGATTTAAGTTTACCAACTTTATTTGCGATTCAATGAATGAATCTTGGATCGCAGTTCATCAGTGCCGTTTAAAGGCAATTCGAAGGGACAGAACGACATTGAGTTTTAATGGGACTGTGCTAAAAACAGTGTCGAGGTTTCGAGTCCATGCTCAAATTTTCAAGAGGGCCAATGGATTTAAGCCGTGGCTCTACAACATCACCTTTGATGGTTGTCGATTTTTGCGAAAACCCTATGAACCGCCCGTGCTAATTGTTTTCAATCTGATCAAACGATATTCTAATTTCAATTTCACATGTCCATATATGGTAAAATAATCTTTAACAATGCATATCAGAAAATTTAATTAAGTTATTATTACAGGGTCCAGTATATATAATGGGAGTCCATGTCATTGGAGAACAGATTCCGGTCCCACTCCCCACTGGGGATTACTTAATACAAATAAAGTGGTATATTGGTAAGGTACTTTTTTTATCGACAGGCATATACTTTGCTTTTGAAGAGAACTTATCATCTTATTAAATAGTCTCCCAATAAATTTTAATCTTATTATCGAAAAATTTAGTGTGCAAATAAAAAGAGTAAACTGTCGTTTGTGCGATACAAAAAAACAGTCGATTTCGTAATATATAGAATATACAATATAATGTAAAATCGGGAATGCTTCCTTTTACATGGTTACAAACTTCATTTTCAAAAACTATTGCATGAAGGATGTGGGTCCAAAAAATATTCTCCTTGATATAAGGATATTAAACTCAGCGAATGATATACACATTCAGCGTAAGGACGTAAGTAGGGCCAATAGCAACAACCCCCGTTTTTTTTTAACAATTACCAAAAAGTTAAGTGCAGTTTTTTTTTAAATGTCCAAATATTATCCATAATGCCGACGTGGTAAGACTATCGAACTTCTCCGCCTTCAAATAGTGTCCGAGATCTCAACGATTAATCGGACGTGCGGACTGATACTGCTCAGGGATCGGAAACGCTTCCTTCTAACTTTTACATACTTTAATCTACGAGAAATGGGTATAACAAAGTTTATGTCCAAAAGATATGAAAAAATTCCTCTGTTGTTTAAATGTTGATTAACACAGGTATCATATATCACACCTACACCTACAATCAGATCTTTGCAAAACCTTTGTAAGGCATCCAAATACGATTTGTTTTCTAATTTTTCTTCCTCCGTTGCAAGTACAGAGTAATATTAAAATGTTTTTGTTGCGCAGTACGATTACGTATTTTAAATACAACAAGATATAATGATATATAATATATATATATATATATATATATATATATATATATATATATATATATCTCTTTTATAGTTCCTGAGATATCGATGTTCATACTGACGGACAGACAGACGGACGGACAGCATGACGGACTCGGCTCGACTCGGCTATTGACCCTGATCAAGAATATATACTTATACTATATGGTCGGAAACGCTTCCTTCTGCCTGTCACATACTTTTCAACGAATCTAGTATACCCTTTTACTCTACGAGTAACGGGTATAAAAAGTTTACACGAAATTACGAGACACTTGATTTTAAGTAGGTCGATAGTAACTGACGCATTTAAAGATCTGTTTAAGAATGTAACTTGCGGAATGGTTCCAATTTAGATATGGTCACGATAAGGTCCGAGAGAAAGAACTAGAATTAGTTGAATGATTTATCATACAGAGGAGCCCGTGAAATTCCTATTGTCAGTATCGTACCAGCAAAAACAACTAGCCACAAGCAACAAAAGCAACAGCGTGCCCCAAACAAAAAAAGAGCCAACTCGTGGGCAAGCTACCAATTTTAGACATATGAATGCGACAGAGGTGAACAAGCCCAAAGTGATGGCAAAAGAAACAAGAATCCGAGCGGCCGCTTACAGAATTAGATACAGATACATTTGAGTGATCTCTTTGGCCTCTAGCGTAAGCGGGAGTTCTCGAGGTCAGCCACTTTAGCTATGTGTCAGCCAGCCCCATGCACAAATATCTGTATTCTCCATTCTCTGGCTCTCTAGAGTCTAGACCAACATTTACTCTCGTCTTACACCCGGCTCTGTCCGGTTTTTCTTTTCGCCCGGATTGCATTCGGACCGCTGCTGGTGTGGCTGCTTCTGGTGTGTGGCTTCACTTAATTTACTTTACTGTTATGTTTTTGCTTAACGCTAGTTAGGCAAGGCAGGCAATACAAGACGTCGGTTCTTCTGAGCGCCATCATCGTGTAGTCATACACCTGATCTTTATGGGTGTGTGCACTGGCCAACACCGTTTCATAACCAATTCGCCCATACGTATCCAATAAAAGTGTACATTTAAATCCGTTGTGAAATGCCAAAGTTTAATGCCAATTTGTAAACAAACAGATTGTTGTAGTCCTCTTGAATGCCGAGTTATTACTACATTACATGTTTGGTTGTGGTCAAATGTTGGTGTTGTGGGTTCCACGATTACGCAAGCAGTTTTTACCGCCTTTTGGCATTATCAACTGAAAAACAAATTATAACTATTTTTGTTCGCCTCTATTGGGATATTGACTATTTGGATATTTTTATTATATTTTATATTTTTATTGTAGAGTTGCGGGAGAGCTAACGACCCGACCATAAACAAAGAATTCTCTTTGTGTTCCATTGACACAGTTTATGGTTTATGAAGTTTTATTGCTCTCGTAGTCCCATATATTTCAGTGATTGGGCACAATGCCGGACCTCTTGATCTAGACCTCGAGGATTGCCGGCGACCCAAATATGCGTAAGTCTTTGAAATGGACAATAATACTGCAATGTTCTTAATGTCGTCGAGGAAAATCAGCTTTGTTTGTTTAATTAACTAACTAATCGTATATGGAAGCTGCTTTATAGGAAGTCTTAGTTGTTGATGCTGCAAAAAAACAAATTTTCTGCAAATTTTGCATCACACTTTGAGAAGCATAGAAGGGAGGTTGAGAGCCTCAGCACGATGGAATAACCAGGGAAGGATCTCGAAAGGAATAAGGTGCTAAAAGGGAGGCTGAAGCATGAGACAAAAGGCGTGAAGCCTTAACCGATGGTAAGTGTCTATAACGTCCATGAATATCCGGAAGCAGGCAGGCACGAAGGGCAACCGCAGCCCAAAGTAGTAGACAAACAAAGCCAGCCTAAGGATGCGCTCATGTAAGGGACCGACGCAGGGAAAAAAAAGGGTTAAGGAACCATAATGACAACATGACATGCAAAGTTTTGTCAAAGCCCAGACAGGCAAACAATGTTCGGGTTGTTGGAGGTTGTCGAGGATGCGGATGATGGCTTCCCTTACAGGCATAAGTGGCCAGTGTGGCTGGATTGTGCGGGATTACATTTCTTACATTTTTGCTCAGCACGTATATTAATAACTAATTGAGAGCTGTGCATCGCAACACGTACGAAAGGTATTCGAGGCACGAATTTGTCCATGCACTCTGAGAAACTCATGGCTTATGTGGGAGTATTCCTAGTTGCGCAACGAACTTAAATTGACTGTTGCGTGTGTGTTGGTATCCGAATTCAAATTCGTTTGTCTAATCAGATGGAAACACCTATGCTATACAATTTCCAGTTAGGGTCACAAAATGATTCTAAGTTCCTCCACTTGCTGTAGTGTCTCTCTCCCAGTGAAAAAAATCATTAGAAACCTTACAGACTGATGAGGGTGGGCTTCCGTGGCAGAGCCGAAAGCCATGACTAGGCATAACAACTAGCTACCAACAAGCAACTACACATCGCAATCTCGGATCCATGAAGAAGTGGAGTAGGACAGCAGCAGCAGAGGCATGGGCCCAGTTCGGCGTGCAATCTTCTGCTCTTGACTCTATGGACTAAACTGGTAGCACATTTCCTTCTTACATTCTGTTTTGTTTTTTTTGCCAGTCCCGGGTTGAGTCATCTCCAGTTGAGTCGGCAGCCGACTGCCGTGTTTTGCATTTGGCCAAGTTCGATGACTAAGCACAGTTTATTTCAGGTTCTCCCTTCTCGGCCGACCGGCATAACTTCAATGTGACCGCACCTTGAGCTTGATTGCTGATCCGCCAGCAGATGTCCAAGTTGTCATGGCTGCCAAACCTCCGAGTGTGGCGCACTTGAATTTGGTCGTAGGTTCGTTCAGCGTTTCGGTCAATGGATTCGTAGCTCGAATTTAAGTGAACAATAGGGATTTTACACTTTATAAATTGTTTACATCGAACATTTCGAATATTTAGCAATGCACATCGCATTAATATTCATTTACTGGCCAATCATAGCAAGACCACATTCTGCTATTGCAGTTTAAGCTATAAACAAATTCAAGCCATGATTAGGTTTAGGGCCTGATGATGAATTTGTGGCCCGCAAACGCTAACATTGGTCGTGGCGATGGCATTAATTAAATAAATAATTGGATGATCATCTAGGTAATCAGAATCCACAAAAAAAAACTTTAGACCACAAACTGCTGAAAATTGTGGTAAACTCAAAAAACTTTACCCATGGCAATCGCACAATAAACAGTCGCACAGTCGAATTCCCCGACTATCAGATACCCGTTACTTAGCTAGTGCAAGTGCAAACGAGACATTTCAACATTTTCTGGAATGTCGGTAGAAATTAAAAAAAGTTGTATAAGTATAAGTTTTGGGCGTATAAGTTGGAGTGAGCGTGGCAAAAAGTTTTTCGGCAAATTTATAGAAATTTACAAGATACTTGTATATAGAAAAATGAAAAAATTTACACTACGAGTAACGGGTATCAAAATTAAAGCAAAACGAAATACTGCGCAAAACTTCAATGAGATATTAACAGATCAACAATTTAGTTTGGTTACTTAAGCATTACAAAGTCAATGCATATGTAAATTCGTTGGTTCGCAAGAAAACCAAAATAAGGTGTGATCTCTAAAGAGATATAAAAACCTATCACTCGCGATTTTTCTAACTACTAGTGATTTCACAATAATTTTCATTTTCCCTTTAATTTTCAATAAATTTCAAAATTTGCACGCGCACTTCCCCCAGTTCCAGTATGCAATTAATACTTAGTTTCCATTTCGTTCGAATTCATAGTTCAGCGATCTCCCTTTTATATACATTCACAATTACAAGTAGAATTCAATGAGTACAATCAGCACAATGATCGTGCAAAATGTAGAGGAAAACTACTTTTGTGCCATTGTATCTAGTACTTCTAATACCCTTGCTCAGGGTATATAGAATTCAGTCAGAAGTTTGTAGCGCATTTTTTTCATTTAATTCTTGTTTTTTTTATTTCTATCAATATTTCAAAAAAAAATTTGAAAATATCTCGTTTGCACTACCCCCAATTGAGTAACAGGTATCTGATAGTCGGGGAACTCGACTATAGCAATCTCTCGTGTTCTTTCTGTGTTTCCCAACTGAAGCGGAACAATTTTGTTTCGCTGTTGCGTTTGGTGGTGCTACCGATATTTGCCGGTTTATATGATTTTCCGGTACGATAGAAATCGAAATTTAAATAAAATGCCAAATCAAATAACAAACA